CCAGTGGCAGGCGCGCTCTTACGAGCTGCCTTTGTGGCGAGCTGTTTTCGTGGAGCTTTTCCACCAGTCGATTTACGGGCAGTTTGCTTTGTGCGTGCCATTTCTGCTAACTCAAAAGTCAACGAGTGATGTATGCAATATTCCTTCCACGATAGTTTATACTAAACGCGCTTTTTCCTGATTGGTTGTAAACTATGCCATTTCATTGGATAACCAAGACTGCTCGTAAAATATTGCTATGATTTAGGCTTGCATTGCGATCCTATAAGTCACATAAGGTTCTTTTGATTTATAGAAAACAATTATTCCTAAGTTGTCGTTGTTAATTGTAAGAAACTATCATCATAAAATCGGCCTAAGCGTTACATCGCAAGAGTTTTAGCGATAATGGTGATTTTTGGCTCCTTTAACATGTTCGCGCTTGTCTAGTGAGGCAATAGTATGGTAATAATTAGCTTGACCCTTTGACTCTTTTGTCTGTTCTAACCAATCAAGAACAAGAAATTATTTCTTTTATAGCGTGTTTTCCGTGAGGTCATTCTTTCTGGTATATAAAGACGGAAACTCGTGCTTTGAGTTACTATTTCTTGTCCGAGAAAAGTTTCAACATGTCTGGTCGCGGCAAAGGAGGCAAAGGTCTAGGAAAAGGAGGCGCCAAGCGTCACCGAAAGATTCTTCGTGACAACATCCAAGGCATCACCAAGCCTGCTATCCGTCGTCTTGCTCGCCGTGGCGGTGTCAAGCGAATCTCTGGCCTCATCTACGAAGAGACTCGTGGCGTTCTCAAAGTTTTCCTTGAGAATGTGATCCGTGATGCTGTTACCTACACCGAGCACGCCAAACGCAAGACTGTCACCGCTATGGATGTGGTGTACGCTCTCAAACGACAAGGACGTACTCTGTACGGATTTGGCGGCTAGATCTTTGCGCTACACACTCAAACAAACGGCTCTTTTAGGAGCCACCAAATCTCTAAAAGTCATAACCAATTAAGTGTTTTCCTTGTCATAATATCAACCTCGTTAGTTGGGGCACTGAAGAAAGTGTTACAGTAGTAACAGAATTTACGTTAAATTTTGGAATATAAGTAACTTTCAGAACTAATCGCTTTCATCCTTATGTAATTTTGCTGTCGAGTTTCTAAGGATAGTTACTTCTTGCCTAAAACGCAATCAACTGCACGCTGTTATAATTTTAAAAATTGCGCGCGTCGGTAACAACTGATTTGCATTTGTTAAGATCGTCACAGTTGACTTCAGCGGAACTCAGTATTAGAGTGAAAACCAACATTGTCATCAACCAGTATTCGAACTTTCTTTAGCCTAGTCATCTTTCACTGATCTTATAGTTCGCGCAATTTCTACTCTTTTTAAATATGTGGCCTCGACCCGCCTTTTTTAAAATTTATGCATACCCATGGCCGTTTTAAACGTAAGAATAGCTGCTAGATCATTGCGCTACACTCTGAAACAAACGGCTCTTTTAGGAGCCACCAAATCTTTACCAGTCATAACCAATGAACCGCACGTTAGTAATGGAATATGAGTAAATTTAAAAGATAATCGTTATTTATTCCTAAGGATCGTCAGTTTGTGCCTAACGGCAATCAACTTCGTAAAGGACGCCGTTACAATTCAACATAAATTGCGCGCGTCGGTAACGGAACTGATTTGCATTCGGTACGATCGTAAAGGTTGACTGGAGTCATTACAGTTCGCCCGATTACTACACGTTGTGAAGTCACCACTTTCTACGTACCCTTTTTAAAATTTATGTATACCCGTAACTGCAAGGAATTGATGACCAATACTAAAAAACTCAGCAATAAACCGAGCATAGCTTTCAAATTTTTATTTACGCAATTTTTACTGAAAAGAAAGAAAGATCAGTGCACAAGGGATTTTTTGCTGGCTTCATCGACTCATTCGAAGAAGGGAGTATCTACTAAGTTCATATATATGGTTAAGACTTTTATAATATGTGGTGGCTCCTAAAAGAGCCGTTTGTTTTAGAAATCAGGAAAGCACTGTTTAAGCTTTTGCTTTCTTCTCAGTCTTCTTGGGAAGGAGAACAGCCTGGATGTTGGGAAGAACACCTCCTTGCGCGATGGTGACGCCGGCGAGCAGTTTGTTCAACTCTTCGTCGTTGCGGACAGCAAGCTGAAGGTGACGGGGAATGATTCTAGTCTTCTTGTTGTCACGGGCAGCGTTACCCGCCAACTCGAGGATCTCAGCGCTCAAATACTCGAGCACTGCAGCCAAGTAGACTGGGGCACCAGCGCCAACACGCTCAGCATAGTTGCCTTTGCGAAGAAGACGGTGGATACGTCCAACAGGGAACTGAAGCCCCGCTCGGGATGATCGGCTTTTGGATTTTGTGCCCTTTGCCTTTCCTTTACCGCGACCAGACATATTTTCAAATCAACAGTTGAGCTCGAATATGCACGAATGAATAAACCTAAGCTAAAAACTTTAGAGTTTATACGCGCGGCAAATTTTGAATAGGATCGAAACGCACCAATCACGCTTTAAAAGTTTTCAGTGTTTATTGAAATATGATGATGTATGCGGAGAGCATATTGACATTAAAATAGAATAACCAATTAAAACTTAAGGATTTCGATCCGTATGTTAATTGATCCCCTAGTGATTTTGTTATAAATAGACTTTGTGATAACCTGAGGCATTCACTTCCATTCTGATCGACAGACATGGCACCCAAAGTTGCAGGAAAGAAAGGCGAGAAGAGAGCCGGAAAGGCAAAGGCTCCATCTGATGGAAAGAAAAAGAGGAGGGGAAAGAGAAAGGAAAGCTATGCCATCTACATCTACAAGGTGTTGAAGCAAGTTCACCCTGACACTGGTATCTCCAGCAAAGCTATGGGCATCATGAACTCGTTCGTGAACGACATCTTTGAGCGCATCGCCACCGAAGCTTCCCGCCTTGCCCACTACAACAAGAAATCAACCATCAGTTCTCGCGAGATCCAGACCGCCATCAGGCTCCTTCTGCCCGGTGAACTGGCCAAACACGCTGTCAGTGAAGGAACAAAGGCTGTGACCAAGTACACCAGCAGCAAGTAAACTCACTTTGTGGGTTTACCGCTAAATCAAAACGGCTCTTTTAGGAGCCACCAAATGTCATAAAAATCATGACCAATTTTAATGATATTTGTTCCCCTATTTTCAAACTTCTTAAAAAGCCAAGTGATATTAATAAAGCCTAGTGATACATTAGAACCTCGATAACTCGGAGTCGAATTCCACGCTAGCTGGAACTAAATTTCCCATTCCCTTTGGAGTTTTCTGAAATTTACCCCGATAACTCGAATTCCCCGCCAACTCGGACTGTTTTTCGTTTCCCTTCAGGGGTTCTACTGCATTTACGATTTCGCCGCCAAAAACACAGTTCATTGTTTCTTACGTATATTGATTTTGCGATTAAGTCGAACCTACTTTTGTCATGCAAGTGGTAGAGCCATCAGCTACGAAGGGTGTTGTTTGAGTGGCTGGGTAATTTGGGTATTTTGCAATTAAACCGAAAAAGGCAACATGTAAGCTCTCCATTCGGGTCACACGTAGGTTGTGAGCACAATTGACCGAGAGCGCGCGTGATGGGCGACTAAAACCAGGGTGGAAGCCTAACAAACCAAAAATTTGCATAATTTTACCTTTTCGTTCGCCGCGCGTGGCTGTCAGGGAATATGAAGGACGACTGCTCGTGCAGTCTAGATCACACGCGAGTGGCAATGATAAAGCACATTCAATGATGTAGCCTGCGAGCAAGCTCTTGAGCCGTGAGAGAACGCGCGAGCGAGCGGCTGTACACTCGCGTCTCTGTGCGGCACTCGCGTGAATTCTCGCGACTCCCCTGGCCTTTATAAGCTTTTATATTTGCAAACTCCCATGCATCACTATAAAATTACGCCTGTACGTGTTAACTGTAGCGATGAAAAAAGAAGTAAATGTTGTAAACCGAGCTTAATGCTCCCTGAATTCGTGTAAAACTTTGGTCTTTCTGGCTTTTTATCTGTAATACTTTAAAATTTAATTTTCAGTCTGTGTGTAGGGTTCAGGATGTGTTCGACCTCCTTCAGAGTTATAGATTAGAATATCATATCCTGATTATGCGATAAAATTTAATTCTGAATAAAAATACAAAGAATGTCTCTACTTGTCTACTGAGTAAAAATGTTACAACATATTGTAATAAAAATTACACTTAAATGAAATAAAAAATTAATGATTTTTGACAACGCATTGACATCGCTGTAAAGTCTTGACATTAACCAGTCTGCAAGGGAAAAACAGATAAAATGGCAGTCAGAAAAAAATGAGTGCTTATAATGTTGCTACTCGCGCTCCTTAGTAGCCTTGCGTTAAAAGAAGGCGTTTAGACTGTTCTCAGTCCCCTATTTTCCCGCAAGATCGTCGAGATCGAGCGCTTTGCGTTGCGGGCGGCCATCTTGGATGAGTGTCAAAACTACTTAGGGAGCGGGGGTGGTTTGGAAGGAAGCGAGATAAATATTTGAGTTTTTGAATGGGAAGGAGAAAAGAAGGTTCTGCCTGAATCGCGTCAAGCTTTTGAAGCCACCGCAGCCCGAACTTCTGGACCAGTCAATCGTGTTTTCTCCAGTCAATCTGGTTTTTTCAAATACGAGCATGAGTTCATTGATAAACCGATGACAGTTATGGGCTCCTGCCGATGATCATAGCCGAAACTACTGTACAAAGCGTACGCCTATAAGGCCTCGGTTCGAAACAATATCCTAGCAACATGGAGTGCATGCTCAACAAAGATCTTACTTGATTTATGCAGAGTATTTCTCGAGTACGCCAAAAATCGAGAAAGCGAAAGAAAGGCTCCGCTCAGCAGGGTGATTTTATACAAAATAAAAACCTGAATGTTCTTTATAGGCCGTGCAGCGTTGGGACTTAGGAAGCAGTAAGAGATGTGGCGAAACTATGCGTCTTACCATGCATATTGATTGCCAGGACTGTATCAAGCATCAGCGGACTCCTTTTCAACAAAAGGCATGCCTTCTTGCTCCTCATCCGCTGATGTTTTCTTAGAGCACTTCGATGGGTGGGCGTGGCAATAGATGTGTAGATATACACAATCACGAACGCACCCTTTAAATGAAAGATGTTTAAAGTGACGATGACAAATATAAGCACATTTCCAGATCAATAATTTTAGATGGGGGCTGGGACGTTGTCCGCCGGCGCCTGCTGGATTCACCCCAGATCCTTCCTCTCCCTCGCCTCCCTCACTGTGGTCATTCAGCTCATCACCAAATGTCGCAGTATTATCGACAACTTCCTTCACTTCATCTGTAGCATCCGACCCGAGAGGCTCAGTGATTTTTGTTTCATCTGTGAATAAAAGGTACATTTCTCGTCTTTGCTATGATTGAACTTCATCGTTCACTGCTCTCCCTTCCCTCCCTCCCCCATTTCTACTGCCTCTAAGGCCACATAAATGCTGAGATTAACTAACTAACTTCGTCCAATGCATTAAATGATTATCTAACTTACACTAAGCTAACTTGAGATCAGGCCCTATTTTCGTTTCGCTTGGTAAATAAAATTCTGGCGGGAAAGGCGCAACGAAACGCGATCAAGTAAGAGAGAATGTTAGTAGCCTCCCTAAAGCAAACGTTCTTAGAGGCTCGTTAAAGCCGTAGGAACGCGTGACGAACCCCTAAAAATGTCTGCGTGGGAGGCTAAAGAGAATGTATGGAAGCTGCTAAAGTTGGGCCTGATCTCAGGTTAGACTTACACCGATAGCAGAGGCCTTTTTTCCCTTGTAAGAGGCCTCTGCCCTAAGGAAACGACAAACGTGTATGAGTACCTGGAGTTATGAAAACCGGGTTAGCAAACATTTTGTAATTTCTCTTAACTTCCCCTGTCTAATAGCTTCTTTACTGAGTTGTTTGCTTATGCCTTTTTTTGTTCGTTTTGTGGTTAGGGATTTGTGGCGAAGTGCCTGTAGACAGAATTTCGCGAATTTCTATTTTAGACCCGTTGATTGCTTCTAGCATAGTTAATTGAGTGGAATGGTTATGAAACCCGTCAGACTCCTTTGTTATATGTTTTTGTGGACCTGAAAGTGCACAACGTTCAAAAGAATTCCTATCATTTTGATTGTATTGACCAATAAAAACGTTGCATTAATTTATTCCGTGACAATTTTCAACAGAAAACAAAGGATTGTGCACTTTCAGGGTGCTTCCAACATAAACTGCAGCACTGTTGTTTTTATCATTGATGTTTGCCGCTTTTCATAACCAGTCTCCTCTAATAACTATGCTTCTAGTAACCACTAACTCACTGCCCTGCGTCAGATAAAGGCTTTTAATCGCCCTTTGAATGATGTCTTATTGTTTTAAATTGCCAAGTAGTAGAACGAGTTGACTTTTTTTGCTAAGCCGGTTTTCAAAAATCCAGGCATATATATTTTAATTTAGGCTTGTCCTTTGTCAGTTACGCTGTTTTATGCATGGCTGATGATGAGAACTACGCCCACTTGACCACGTGTTAGGTTAATATCCCTAGATATTGGCCAAGCTTTTTGCTATGTTATGAACTCAAGTGAAGCATATAAAAACGAAGGAGTCCAATATTCAGCCATCCTGACTGCACAAGCTTGGCCAATAAAGGATTTATCGTATGGCCAAACCAAAATCTCTCCTTGAGAGACAAATAAAAGTGGGCAAGACAGGCCCACCTTAGTACGGTCGGGTAGAAGACAGGATTCGCTTCGATTTGTCTTGCACACTCGTGGAACCAGCCAAATAATGAAACAATTTTCAGAAAGAACGTATGTTTGTTCAAGTGTGAAAAGCGGAAAATTTTCTAGTTGATAAATGAATTCGCTTTTTTGCGTTTTTGTTCAAAGCTACTCAGATAAGACAGCGAACGTTAGGAAACTTATTATAGACCATACTGATCTTGTTATCAAATATACTTTATTGGGTTATTTAATACAGTCTCTTGGTTGTTATTTAATAGTGAAAGACGAATCAGCAATCAATTTAACCCTTTGGGTTCGAGCGAGTTCAAGAGAGGACTAAAACCCCCAGAATTCAGTAGAGAACACAAAACGGACCAAAAATTTTTTATTTTAATAAAAGCTCAGTCCAAATTCCATTTTGTGACTCATTTGGTTGGACCGTTTTCTTAGTTAATTTAAGTTAACTTGGTTTTGTTTATCACCGCGGTATATTCCATTGCTACTCATGATGTAATGAGATTCGAAGCAAGTACTAAATAGTTGCATGAGGAAGTGATTGCAACTTACAAGGCTAACTCATCAGTGTATCAACAGCAAAACAACAACACTACAACTTTCTGTTTTCAAAATGAGCAAATTTGTAGTATGCGAGTCGTTACGCGATAACAGTGATTTTGCAATTGCCGCCCTATAATCGATTACGGTTTAGAGCATAAAATTAAAACTCGAACGGGTATAAAGGGTCATTTTCTCGTATATTCAGCTCATCTTTTAGTTATTTTCAGTCTGAAGATTTTTCAGCTACTAATATCTGTCTTTAAGCCTTCATTCTTTTTTTCTTTGTAGCAAATTATAAATCAAGCGTAAAATGATACGAATTCAACTAAAACCAAATAACTGGCATGCCAAAAACCTTGCGCTGAATTACTCATTTAAGCTTCTCAAAAAGAATCGATTCCATTGAGCAAATTTTATGCTGGATTTTATGTTTTAAGTATTGTGGCACACCAATTTTAAGAGCAAACAAGTGATATATGGTTATCATTAAGTACCTTCCAATAAGCCTTCAATTTCCTCCACAGGATCTTGATTCACGGTTCTGAAGTTCGTCAATTTAGGTTTAGCGCTGGTTAAAGCGCAGAAAATTAAAATCACCGCTAAAATCTTCATCATCTTTGCGATCCAGCGAAGTCAACAGCGCACAGTTGTCTATCTCGCAAGACCAAGAAAGAGTGAACACTATTGTGAACACCCTAAGGTTACAACGCTATTTAACCCCATTTACAACACACAAAAGAACACTGATTAACATGTAATTTCTCCCGGCACTAACAGATACCCTGACTAGCCTTCAAGTGATAAGAATAAAGACGTTCATCAGTTAGAGTGGCCAGGTAATGAGCCATTAACTTCACAGTACACTGACATGATACAGCGTCTGAACAAATGGTCAAACAGCAACAAGAGAGAGAAGAAACAAGTAAAAACGCAGTTTAGAAACTATCAAAAGAACTCGTTACTTTAGTGTTACTTTGGTTCCCCGAATAGTTGAGGACAAAAAAGTGAGGGATACTCTTGACGACTACATTTGTTTTTATGAGTTTTTTGTTTGTTGCCGCGGGGCAATCAAAAAATCTGCATGCAAAGCGGAAAACTGTCCTCATTTTAATAATCAGTAACAATGGTGTGTCATGCGTTGGTGGTTCAATTTTTGCAAGATCATTGAACGTAGATTAAACCCGAAGCTTGCAATATATCGCTGGACGACTGTGAGGCAGTACGTACAACGATCTGGCCCGGGTGACTAGAACATCAATTAAGATGCAAACAATTCCTTCAAAAAAATTTGACTGTATAAAGTTATATAGATCGGCGTGATCACGGTATGATTACATTTTGCGTTCACGTGAACAGCGGATTACAGTCAAAACAGGTTCTAAGATTCTATTAATGAATTGATTATTTCTATTAATGAATTGATTATTTGACAAAAGTCGTTTGCTTGCGTAATGAGCAGTGAATAATTTACGAGAACTTGTCTCTATTTGGTCAGATTGAAAATCTTTGAATGAATTAAAATTCTTAGAAGACATTTACATCAAATTCAGGGAAACTGAGCAGGTAGAAATTTCGTAACTGAATCGCGTGTGAATTCACGGCTCATTACGCATGCAACTTTATGTAGAGATGACCTGAAATCTACTCACTGCCAACAGACTCAACTTTCGAATAATAAATTCATTAATGGAATTTTGGGGGGTACCCTTGACCTGGCTTGATGACTGTAAGTTCAAATTAAACAACCATTTCAAATACGCCATAACTGCGTTTTTGCAGCTCTTTAATTTGTTTCCCTTTCGCCCACGGCTTCTCCATGCTTTGCTTCGTTACCCGAGCTGAAAAGTTCTTTTAACGACGCCTCATAATGTTCGGAACACACGCCATCTTTTATAGGATGTAGACTTTGGTCTACAATAGGCATGAGAAGTCAACCGTAAAAGCGGAAAAACTGCCATAATAGTGGGTGCAATTTGGGTGATCAATTTTAAATACCGCCCAAGCCTTGCTCGTAAAAAAGGCTAATGGATTATTGTTAAGAGCCTGTGGCGACACTTCGCTGCGCTTCCTTGGACAGCAATTTGATTTTTAATTCGACATACAACGTTTCACATTAATTTTTGGTGTACAGCCTGGTGATTAAAGTCCTTGCGATCGACCTTGCGAAGTTACTGATAATAATAACATTCAGTGTAGACATTTAATGTCCTGGAGGGAAGCTTCAGGGACCTGCTAAATTTTGTGTCGTCAGTGTGTCGCTACAATCTATTCAAATTTAGCGTTTCGTTTGGTCATTAATATATCGCAGGAGCTGATTGTCCGTCGTTGATTTGGTGAAAATGCATCCTCGGAGACCCCAGGGGCAGACAGTCGGGTCGGGAGAAAAGGCAGGACGAAAGTCTTGGCCGTATTTGAAAACTTTCGTCCCGCCTTTTCTCCCGACCCGACTGACTGCCCTTGGGTCTTCGAGGATGGTGTAAATGTAACTAGGGACCTTACGTAACGAAACTACTACGTCGACAGCAAGGAGAACGTCAAAATAGCATGAGGTTTAATGAGAAAAACAACAACTCTGCACGTGCATCACGCTTTTTTGTACATTTCTTTGCTGTCCCTACACAACTACGACGCGAAATGACCGAATTTAAAATTTATTTGAGAACGGGAACGGCAAGGCCATATGTTTTACCATCTCTGTCTGAACTCTAGCGAGGTCCCTTCTCTTCAGCTCCAACCAAAATTCTCTTCTTTAAAGTAACGGGGAGAATTGGGATAATCGCGAAAAAGTTTAAAAGGGTGCGAAGTCTATTTTTCAGCGACGTTTTCATGAACGTCAGCGTTGTCGGATCGTAAGGTCCCTATTCTCTGGATCAACGACTTTGTCATGTGTGCGATATTTTCAAGCGGCAAATGTGTGTAAAACAGCGACAAAAACAATAGCAATAATAATGATAATGATAATAATAAAAATAATAATAATAACAGTAGAAATAAAAATAAGCTCCCGTCACACGAAGTGGTTTTCATGGAGGTCGTCAGTTAGATCATATCAGTAATATTGAAAATTACTGACACTAATTACAATCAAACTTAAAGATTTTTACACTACTACGCAAATATAAAAGGCTGACGGCTAAAAATCTAAGCCGTAAAAAGGCTGAACGACTAACAAGGCCTAAATGAAATTATTACAACCTTAAATATACCTGGTTTTTTGAAAACCGGGCTACTAAAAAATGTCAGTCTCTCACACTGATTGTTAATTTGATGGCCCTTGTTACTTGAAAAGTAAAATCTCACCTCAAAAAGAAATTATTGAATACATGAG